TGCGGCGCGCCCACGTTTTATTGAATAGACAGTATGGCCATTTGAACATTTTGGGGGTGAGAGACGCAGAGAAACGAGACACATTGTGTCTCTAACTCCTAAATTTCAATTCGCCGAAACTCGGCTCAAAATCGGTTTAAAATATCCATGTTTTGAGTGTTTTATACGGAATTGTCCAAATTTTCAGACAAATCACAAATTCTCTAAAATCGTGATTTTTCGAAAACTCAAAATTATATAAATTTAAGATGACCCATCAAGAAAAAACATAAATTTTCGGAATTTTCAGAAAAACATTTCTAAGATAACCCCGAATTATACTCGTAATCTAAATTTCTGTATTTCCAGCTGGATGGACGCCTTCCTTCAATGCGAACCCAACCGTTCCCACGTCTATAACCTTGTCTATAAGCACTGGGCACCCAAAAACGTTGGATTCGACAAGGTCTACTGTCCCACTCATGCTCAACTCTTCATTGTGTGATCCATCTTGCAATCTTTCCGCACTTGCAATGCGATGGGCGGAGCGTCGGTGGGGGGAGGCGGGAATCAAAGAACGCAAACACCAAGTCTCACTTTTTTTATTCCGACAATACTTAGATTAGTGAATAAAATCATTTTTATTGATTTTCACACAATTCTAACAATCCCCCACTTGCTGTTGTTACTGTCCGCTCACTTCAGTCAGTCAGTTCCCCTGTCCTCATTTCCCCTCTCTCCTCTCGCAGAGACTGTCCACCAACGCTGTCCCTTTCTCCACACAGCAGCGGTCATTTTGTCTGCGTCTTCTCTTCCTGATACACTCTCTCGCACTCACTAACAAGAAATAGTGTGGGAAGCGAAGAGAGCGCAGAAAGCTAACAACGCGTCCGCTGTGCGCACCCGCCAGTGCGTCGCGTCTCGTCTATGCCCCGCTGTCGTTTCATGTTTTTCCCGGTTGGCTTGATTTGCTTGCTTTCTGCGCCTTTTTAGTTTATTTTTTGGTTTGAAAAAACCATGGTCCTACAACGACAACTACCGTAACCTAAAAATATTTCTCTGTTTTACGCATTAGTTATATTATTTTTAACTGTCAAAAATTTGTATTTCTGACTTTTTTTCGGGAAACAATAACGGCAAAAAGCAGTGAAAACATTGAAAAATGGAAAATAAAAATATTTGCAGGTTACGGTAGTTGTCGTTGTGTGATATTCGGCTATGGCCTTAATCTGCCTTGATTCTTGGAATTCCAAAATTCAAAAAAATCCAAAAAAATCAAGATTTTCTACTTTTCTGAACTAATAAACCTCATAACTCCATTATCCTAAAGTTTACAGTTTTAGAGATTTTCAAAATTCAAGAACATCAAATCCAAGTGCCCGAGAAATTCTGGATTTATTAGATTTTGAAAAGAAGACAAAATTCTAGTCTGGAACCAAAAAGAACAAATCTCCTACGACCATCTTAAGCCGAGTTATGGTCATTTGAAGATTTTGGAGGTGAGAGACGCAGAGAAACGAGACACACTGCGTCTCTGACCCGAAATTTCAAATCGCCGGAACTCGGCTCAAAACCGGTTAAACATAACCCTTTTCAAAAGCGTTTTTTACACAATTTCCTCAAATTTTCCGAAAAAATTCAAAAACCCAAACAAAATTTTTTAGAGATTCCTGTAGTTTTCGTTCCGAGACCTTCCGCCACAGTAATTAGCGTTTCTTTTCTAATTAATGGGGTACTTCAAAATTAAATTTTAACTGTGTCCCTCCTTTTTAGAAATACATTTTTCTCCTCAATTCTCTTCTCTAATCCTTCCTTGATTTCCAGAATGACCTCCCAACAACTGCATCAAGTGAAGTCGGATCCCGCCAACAAGGAACCAGCTCTCTGGGAAGGACCACCTCTGGAGGAGATGGAGAAACTTCCAGAAGTGGATCCAAAAAGGAGCATGACATTAAGTGAATACACAAAACGAGTCGCGGAAAAGAAAGGGCTCTACAAACCCGGACAAAAGGACGATACTCTGAAAAAAGTGATCTGCAATGAAATCGGGAAGCTTCCAGAGATGTGGAACACCAAAAACACCAACAACCAATTGAAATATTATTCAATGGTTGGAGTGGAAGTTTACAAAAGGACCGGGAAACTCGTTTCTCGTGAGTTTTTTAATTACTCTAAAACCTGTCAAGTTTGAGCTCAATTATTGCGGCTCCTATTAGAGACACCAAAAAGTGGCCAACTAAAAAAATGTTCATAATGATATCAGTAACATTTTATTAGTTGATTACTTTTCAATAGCTGTTACATGAACTGGCTTAAAGTTGAAAGTTAGGGATGACCCTGTAACCTGTGATGGAAGGGACCCATAACTTTGAGTCAGTTTTCCTCGGTTACTGTGAGAGATATCAAAGAGTAGTCAACTGATAAATGTTTATCATAATATCTGCAATATTTTAACAATTGACCTATTTTTGATATCTGTCACATGAACCAAGATAAATCGGTTCAAAGTTGAAAGTTATGTATGACCTTAAACCTGTAATGGAAAAGCTCCTACATTTGAGTCGATTTTCCTCGGTTCCTGTGAGAGATATCAAGAAGTAGTCAACTGAAAAATGTTTATCATAATACCAGTAACATTTTATCAGTTGATCTCTTTCTAATAACTGTCACATGAACTAAGATAAATTGGCTCAAAGTTAGGGGTTCCTTCTATTAAAGGTTTTACGGTAATTGGGAACACCTAGAAAGAAAAAGTCGTAGTTTTTTCCAGCTCAATCTCTAACCGCTGTCTTCAAATTTGCCAAGGATGCCGTCAGAAGTCGTGTCAAAACAGCGATCGTCTCAAAACGCCTGAATCCTCAACAAGTGGAAGAGTTGATGTGGCGTTGGCCTTACTATGGATTCATCAGATTCTACCGGAAAGCCCTTCTACCATGGGAAGCCTTCATCAAGAAGCAAATGAACGCAAAGGATGTGAAAGATAATGTGGCTCATACATTAGATGATGAGGATTTCGATGTGGAAGAGGTGGATTATGAAACTGGAATAGCGTTATCAAAGGAAGGATCTTTGGAACACGTCAAGGAAGAAAAAATGGATTACTCACCGGAACCTGAAATGAAGTTCGAGCCTCTACCACCATCAGAAGTCCCGGTGCAGCGTCCGAATCGTCCAACACAACGAGTGCCGCCGCCTCAAATGGGAAAGAATGATGATCCCTACACCCCACAGGGAAATTATGTGAGTGTTATGCAAGCAATCACACGAGGTCTTCAGTCATCTGGAGATGATGAGAATGCGATGAGGATGAATGGAGCAGCAGGACCATCTAGACAATCTGGGACTTCTAGACAACCGGTAAGTCCTAACCAAGGCAGAATTTTGATTAGGGTTTTGGGATAGGCGGTCATGCAGCCTTAGTGGATTCCACGATTCCCACACCCTTGGGCCAAACATTATCTTTACTAAAAAAGTTTACAACCTTGATTTTTTTCCAGCTCCTCACCGCCGCCCGTCCACCGACACTTCCAGTTCCAACTCCAGCTTCTCAGTCGCCACCTCCACTACCACAACCACCACGTCCAGAGCCGAAAATGTACGATTTTGCAAAGGAAATGGAGCAAATCACCTACCACGCATTACGCATCGCTCAGGAACATCCGGAAAGAGTGAAAATGCTGCGAAAGGCTCTATTTACTACGGTGTTCGCCGCGGAGGATAAGGATTATCAGAGTGCTAGAGAAATGTTTCAGGATCTTGCTGATAATTCTCGCTAGTGATTATTGTTATTTATGTGGGTCTCCTTTATATGAATTTTGAATGAATGGTTTTTTTAATTGTGGAGTTGAGCACAAAAAGAGGAAGTAGGTCAGAGTGAAAATGGATTTAATCAGAAAAAAATCACAGAATAATCAGATAATACAATGCATCGATGTCGAAAATCACACACTTCTGTTTTATGTAAGAAATAGAGTGACCTAATTTTCTTCATATGATTTTTCTAGGTCACCATAGTTGACGGTCCAGAAATGGTCTAACATTCACCTGGTGTGTTTTCTCGGCCATCTACCACGGTGGCCTAACTTTCGCATGTTGAGTTTTCTAGGCCGCGATGATGAATGACCTAGAAACGATCTAACATGTACCTGATGCATTTTCTAGGAAAGTTAAGCATGGTGGCCTAACGTTTGCAAGTTGAATCTTCTAGGCCACCATGATTAATAGCCTCGAAATGGTCTTACCTGTAGCTGATGTCTTTTCTAGGCTATTCTACCATGGTGGCCTAACTTTTTAAAGTTGAATTTTTTAGGCCACTAACTTTTATGTCCTAAAATGGCCTGATATTCATTCAGTGCTTTTCTAGGTCGTTTTAACATAGTGACCTAACTTTTTAAACTTGAATTTTTTAGGCTACCAACTATGATGACCTAGAAAGGAATTCAGAAATTCAGATTACAGGCAAGTCAATCTTAAAGGATCTGAACTCAAATTAGGTCTACAGTAGCCAGTTTTCACGTATTATTTTATTTCACTCTTCTGTTTCAAAAATCCACATAAACTCTCCACGTGATTCCAACTGCTATCTCCCAGGAACTCTGAAATTCTCTGATTCTTGCCTTCGGTACAGAAACCATTGTCCGTTCTTTCTGAATATTCTGTGAATCGAAATGTTGATATCACGTCGTGTTTCGCAGTTGCCAACTCGTTTCTTCGCTTCCTCGTCCATGTCGACGATTCCACAAATCACTCGTGCCGACGTGGATTTTTTGACGAATCCGCCGAAGAAGTATGTCGATCAGTTTATGAAAGTGGTGAGTTTTTCTCTCAAATTTAGTGAGCAAGTTGCTCCGTGCAACCTCCAAAACCATCATTTTCCAGCACGGAAACGATCGAACCGTCTTCAAGCAATACGACATTACTCAATGGCAATATTGCTTTCCGGATTACAAATTCAAAGTGATTGCTCTGAAAGGCACCACTAGAGTCATCGCAGTGGCGCATGTTTGTCCTATGTATCCTTTGAAAGGTTCTGGAAACAAGCCAATGATCTTTATGGGATTCGGATGGATTGAACCAGAATACAGATGTCCAAGTATGGCAATGCTGCAGAATGAACTTTGTATGGAGGAGGTTCACAGTGATGAGGACAACCTGGTTTCTCAAATTAGTGAGTTTTCAAAAGATTTAGAACCCATACAGTAATCTTCTTGATTTTCTAATAATTTTCGCTACAGTAACCCTTTCATTTTTTAAAAGTTTTCCCCCCACAGTAATCCATTTGAATTTAAAAATTTCTTCTCTACAGTAATCCTCTACATTTTCCAATATTTTCTCCTTCGGTAATTCATCGGATTTTCAAATATCTGATTTTCAAATATTCCCTACAGTAATCCACCAGATTTTCAAATATTCTTTCCTACAGTAATTCTTTCCATTTCGGCCGTAACAAATCTAAATTCTAGACGAGCCTGGTCGCAGATTTTGGCATCTGATGTGTGGATTAAAGGAACATGAAGACATCGGACATCGAACAGCGGATGTCGGATACAAGAGCTTCTATGATGCCAAAGAAGTGGTCATCCCGAAAGACCTGAACACCAATGGAATCTATTTGAGAAACGCCAGAGATGTCCCAAAACGAGATATCATTGAATACGATCAAACGATTCATCCATATCATCGCGAAAAGTACATCATCTCTCATATGTACGATCGTGACGGATTCGGGAAAGTGGCGTATGATGAGGATGGAAAAGTGATTGGAATTGGTCAAGCGATCATTTATAACAACAAGAAGGACTGTAATCTGGGACCGATCTATGCTGACGAGCCACGTGTCGCCCAGGCAATGTTCAAGGAGATGTTACAGGATATTAAGGATTCTGGAAAGTTCGTTTCCCAATTTGAAGTTCGATCGGCTCAAATGGCTCCGAATAGTTTCCGGTAACTTGGACTCATTTTTGAAATTTCCAATAAATTTTTTGCAGCTGGATCTCTCCATTCCTGAACTGTAAACCAACTCGTTCGCACATTTGCAACTTGGTATACAAACACTGGGCACCGCAGAACATTGACCATACAAAAGTCTACTCTCCGACTCATGCTCAACTGTTCCTCGTCTAGAAAAACGATACCAAAAAATGAGAAACTAAAACTCTGTAATATGTAGATGATCATTGAAATGAATGAATGTTTTTTTTAAAAATGATGTTTTGTTTTGAAGGAAATACAACTTTAGATTATGCTCAATTGGATCGAAGATGACCTAATTGCTCATGAATACAGTGTGAACGCCGGTAGCGGCAGACGTTCAGCTTCTTCATTTATTGACTCTAACTTCTTGAGTAGAATCATTTATTTAAAGAACATAATCAATTAAAACAAAAGATAGGAGAGTCACCGACCAAGAATGGTCGGTAGCAGTGGGTTAAATACAGACTCTTATCAGCAGAATCCGGGAGCACATAGAAACTTCTAGAAACGGTTTGACGTCATTAGGGACGACGCACGAGCATGACAACAGTATAACCTGTTATAATAGGTAAAGGTTCGAGGATTCTTGAAAAGGCTTCTTTAAGATTAAGCTTTGGATTTTTTTTTTAATTTCTGCAGAAAGAAGAAATTCTGGAAGCTAACTATTTCTTTGGTTGTAATTTTAAGAGATGTGTATAAAGATTTTTGAAGAATTTATTCAAAAGTTTCTGTTTTAAAATTGAAAACTTTTGAAATAATTATATGAATGATTCTACTAAAAAAATTAAAAGTAGAGGAAAAAAAGAAGGAATGGAGAAAAATTAGAAGCAGATAGGGATGTTTTGTAGATGGATCGGTCTGAAAATGTATAAATTTGTTATTAGAATTTTCAGAATTTCAGACCTTGGGAATTTTAGAACTTCCACTTTTTAGAATCTCCAAACTTTAGGATCTTAGAATTTCAGAATGCCAGAATCTCAAAATCTCAGAATCTCAGAACTTCAGAATCTCAAAACTTCAGAATTTCATAATCTCAGAATCTCAGAAGCTCAGAATCTCAGAATCTCAGAATCTCAGAATATCGGAATCTCAAAATCTCAGAATCTCAGAATCTCAGAATCTCAGAATTTGAGGTTTTCAGAATTGTACAATTTCGGAATCTCGGAATCTGAGGAAACCTACCACACTGCTCATTCTTCACTTTAAGATTCGTTTTATATGTAATTCGATACATCAAACATTCCTGATTATTGCTAAATAGTTCTGCATTATCACTTATCACCACAGAATCTTGATTTTTGGAAATTACGTGCTGAAACAATAAAGAAAAAAATTCTGACTAAAAAATTCCAAAAATTTACCTCCAAATTCGGAAGTTTTGCTTGTTTTAAATATCTATTTGACCGGATAAAAATTGTTGGATGGGATTCTGAAATTCTCAAGATTTATATAATTTTAAAATAAGCTTATAAAGCTTAAAAGCCAGCTCATAAACCCACCATTCAAATTAGCAATGTATCTTAAATTATTGAGAAAACTCAGTCCTTCCAACTTGGTATACTGTATTTTTAGAGATCCAAAAATGACCATAACATTGTATAAATTTGATAAATGTCGTCCGTTGTAAGTGTCCACAACTACGTTTCCAAATAAAAATTCGCAATCGAATTCTAAAATTTCCATTTGATCGAATTTGCAAACTTTGAGACCTTTTTTCTTGTTAGTAGATTCGAAATTTTCGCAAAATTTTGCATGAATATTGCGGAATTTGATTTTTAGAGTGAGAAGGATGAAGACTTCATCGAAGGTTAGACAAAACTCCGGATGAAGATTTTCCAGATTTATTGTGGTGACGTCACTTTGAGCAGTGTAGATTTCCTGTAAAATATTTCAAAAGTTAGTGGCCTAGAAAACTCAACTTGCTAAAGTTAGGTCATATGTTAAAATAGCCTTGAAAACAAACCAGATGAATTTCAGGATATTTCAAAGCTATTCATCATGGTGGCCTAGAAAGATCATGCTGATAAAGTTAGGCTACCATGCCAAAATGACATGTCATTTCTAGGTCATTTTACCATGGTGGCCTAGAAAACCCAACTCACAAAAGATAGGACACAATGTTTAAATAGCTTAGAAAACACATTAGGTGCAAGTTAGACAAGTTCTAGACCATCAAATACAGTGGCCTAGAAAATTCGGGTGGCAAAAGTTAGGCCACCCGATATTTAAATTGCCTAGAAAACAGATCAAGTTCCTTTTAGATCATTTTTGGACCATGAACTACGGTGGCCTAGAAGAATTATGTTGAGAAAGTTAGGCCACTTTATGACTTCTAAAAAATTGTAAAAATCAAATCACTCACATGCATTCTCTCCAATCCGAAATGTGTCATTTCTGAGTTGTTCGAAAGATCTATCACATAATTCTCCTTGAATTTTTTCCTTTTTTCGACTGTATCTCTTTGACATTTTTCAAAAAGGATAGATCTTTCAATTTTGAATTTTTCACTTCAATATCTCCTTTGATAACCGTGATTTTTGATAAAAATGATAATTCTTCAGAATCTGCTTCAAAATTGAAAAATTTCAATCCTCCATACATTCTTGTACAATTTTCATAGATTTTTAGCGAGGTATTTTTGAGAATTTGTCCACCATAACATCCTGAAAAACTAACGTACTAACTTTGAGCTCAATTATCTCCGTTCCTTCGAAAGATATTAAAAATAAGTCAAATGATAAAATATTGGTGATATTATGATAAGCATTTTATCAGTTGACCACTTTTTGATATCTATCACAGGAACCGAGATAATCAAGCTCAAAGTTGTTGGAAAATAAACCAACCGCAATCCTTAAAATTTCCAGATATGCTCAAACTAATCCATTCTTGAAATCTCTCCATTTCACAAATTTTTGAAGTATCCAACTTTGAATTATTCTGAATTCGAATAGGGCATTCATCCAAACTCGAGTCTCCCCAGATTCCAAAATCTTCTAGAATACTGACATCTTCTAATTTTGGATTATTCTGAATTGATATTTCTCCTAAAAGTTTTTTTTTCATTTAAATATATTTGTCCGAAAAAATTACCAATTTCACAGACCAAATCAAAAACTCCATCATCCTTCTTTTTTGTGAAAAACGATAAACTTTTAAAATTTGAATTTTCCACTTTTAAACTTCCAATGAGGTTTGTCATTTTTTTAAATTTTTCAGAAATTTCAGATTCTGATAAATCTGTATTCTCATTGAAAATGAGAATTCCGCAGACTGTGTCGCAATTTTTTGGGAAAGATTTGATGGTTTTTGAAGTGATTTCCGAGTGATTAAAAGTACATTTTGGATCTGAAAGATTATTTTTTTGAAAATATCGGAAGTTTTCAAAAGTTTTGAAAATTTGAATAAAACACTTTGACTTTCGAAAATTTCGGAAGTTCGATGTTCTGAGATTCTGAGATTTTGAGATCCTGAGATTCTGAGATTCTGAGATTCTGAGATCCTGAGATTCTGAGATTCTGAGATTCTGAGATTCTGAGATTCTGAAATTCTGAGATTCTGAGATTCTGAGATTCTAAGATTCTGAAATTCTGAGATTCTGAGATTCTGAGATCCTGAGATTCTGAGATTCTGAGTTTCTGAGATTCTGAGATTCTGAGATTCTGAGATTCTGAGATTCTGAGATTCTGAGATTCTGAGATTCTGAGATTCTGAGATTCTGAGATTCTGAGATTCTGAGATTCTGATATTCTGAGATTCTGATATTTTGAGATTTTGAGATTCTAAGATTCTGAAATTCTGAGATTCTGAGATTCTGAGATTCTGAAATTCTGAGATTCTGAGATTCTGAGATTCTGAGATTCTGAGATTCTGAGATTCTGAGATTCTGAGATTCTGAAATTCTGAGATTCTGAGATTCTGAGATTCTAAGATTCTGAAATTCTGAGATTCTGAGATTCTGAGATCCTGAGATTCTGAGATTCTGAGTTTCTGAGATTCTGAGATTCTGAGATTCTGAGATTCTGAGATTCTGAGATTCTGAGATTCTGAGATTCTGAGATTCTGAGATCTGAGATTTTGAGATTCTGAGATTCTGAGTTTCTGAGTTTCTGAGATTCTGAGATTCTAAGATTCTGAGATTCTAAGATTCTGAAATTCTGAGATTCTGAGATTCTGAGATTTTGAAAACTTGTACCTCTAAAATAAAAATTTCAAACTTACCGCACAAATGATGATTCACAATCTTTTTGATATTCTTTGAAAAGTCCGAATTCACTTTTAAAAAGGTAGAAATCAAGAAGAAAAGAGCAAACTTCATACTCTCAAAACTTTTTTTGAAAAATAACATTTTTTTTTTGATCAACAAAAGTTTGATCAACAAAATTTCACATGTTTGGAAAAAGCTATTATTATATGGTAATTATGTGGGCGAGGCTGAAATTTCGAAAATATTAGAATTTTCAAAATCTGAAACACAGCTCAATGTTTTTGAGATTTCTACCGTATATTCTTCTTCTATTTCCTCTAACGTCATCTGATTTTTTATTGGATCTTGATCTTATTTCTTATCAGTATAATTGTGATCCTTACTGTACTTTTAATCACTCGGAAATCACCTCAAAAACTATTGACTTTTTCCCAAGGGATTGTGATATCGTTTGTGGAATTTTGACATTCAATCAGAATACAGATTTATCAGAATCTGAAATTCAAGATGTTTTTCAAAGGATGTATCAGCTATTCGGAGGATTAAGATTTGAAAATACAACTTTTGAAACATTTCATTTCTTTCAAAAAGGTCCATCTTCCAATGTTTTTGATTTTGATTGCTCGGCTTGTGGGTTTTTTAAAGATAATTTTTACTTTTTTTTGACTTTAATTGGTTATTCTGGATTTTAAAGAGAAACGTTGGATTCACAATTCAATATTGTTTGAAAATAAATTGAAAATCTAAAAATCTCGGAACCAGAATTTCAGACTTTCAGAATTTCAGAAATTCTCAAGATCAAGAATTTTGAAATTCCAAAATTCTGAGGTTCTGAAAATTCTTCTGAGATTCTGGATTTCTGAAATTTTTAAACTTCAAAGTTTCGCATTTCTCAATTTCCAGAGTTTCAAATTTACAGAATTCGGTATCTCAGAACCTCAGAATCTCAGAATCTCAGAATCCCCAGTAAATAAAACTAAATAATAGTAATTTTCTTCAAAATGCATAAGCAACTAGAGCCGAGTTTTTTTTCAGTCGGATTATCAATTATCAATAACACTGAGCTAACGGATATCTCATTTCTCAATGCCTTTTTCTTGACAACCGATCGATTAACTCAAGAATGTATTCTGAAATTCGAGAACAATCCACAACTAGATGCCAGTCATTTATGTGACCATTTTAAAGATTTATTCGAGCTCCGAATTTCTGGAAATTTTAAAAACTGCGGATGTCGTGGAGATTCGATAATTTCTGAAAATCTGGAAACTCTGGAAAATTGTAAAATTTTGAATGGAGGATTAAGAATTTCAAATTGGACTGAAAATTCTGAATTCAATATCTCTAGATTCTCTTCAATTTCCCATATAAAAGGAGACGTGGAGATTTGGAATACCAATTTCAAGAATTTATCGTTTTTGAAAAATTTGAAAAAAATCGAAACGAAACATGGATTAGTCACAGAATCAGTGTCTATAAATATTCATGATAATCTGGAAATGACCAGATTTGAAATTCCGAATCTTAAAATCTTTTATGAGATTCTGGAAGGTCCATTTATTCTGAATTTGGAGAATTTACACCCAGATTTTTGTTTGAGTTTTCAAGAAATGCTTTTCTTCTTGGAAATCGGAGCTTCGTTTAAAAATATTCATGCAAAATACTGTGAAGAATCTAGGAAATTGAAAATCAATGATTACGAAATTTGCAATTTCAAAAGTATGAAATCATTGAAGGACGGATGTATGTACATTTATGGAAATGTATTGATGGATTCTGGAGATGAGAAATATGTTTTCAAATTAAAAAGTCTAGATGGAATATTCGGAACTTTGACAATCAAAAATACGAAATTGGAAAATTTAAATTTTTTGGATTGGCTTCGATATATTGCATCTTTGGAGGATGATTATGTCATTGAAATTTTGTCAAATGAGAATCTAGTTAATGCAAATTTGCCTAGTTTAGAGGTAAGTCAGATTCTGAGATTCTAAGATTTTGAGATTCTGAAAAAAATGGGAAATTTCAGAATTTCTGGATTTCAGAATTTTGGATTTTCAGCTTTCTCGAAATTCCGAATTTTGGAACTTTACAATTTTAGAAGTTTAGAATTCTAGAATTTCGGATCTTCAGAATTTCGTAATTAAGGTATTTTGAAATTTCAGAGTTTAATAACTACTTGATTCTAGAAGATTCTAAGATTCTTAGATTCTGAGATTCAGAAATCCTGAAATTCTGAAAATTTCAAATTTTCAAATTCTGCGATTCTGCGATTCTGCGATTCTGAGATTCTGAGATTTCGAGATTTTGATATCTTGAGATCTTGAGATTTTGAGATTCTCAGATTCTCATATTCTCTGATTCTGAAATTGAGAAATTCAGAGATTCAGGAATTCAGGGATTCGGGAATTCAGGAATTCGGAAATTCAGAAATTCAGAAATACAGAAATTCTGAAATTCTGAAATACCGAAACTCTCAAATTCAGAAATTCAGAAATTCTGAAAATTCTGAAATTCAAAAGTTCCAAAGTCCAAAGTTCCAAAATTCAAACTCCGAACTTCTGAAAATCTGGAAACCCAATATCTCGGAAAGTTTGAAATTCAAAAATTTTTTAATTCTTAAACTCTGAGATTCTGAAATTAGGAAATTCTAAAATTCTAAAATTCTAAAATTCAAAGATTTTTCCAGAACATCATAACCAAAGGAAGTCGTACTGTAGTCGTGAACAATAATCCACTTCTAGAATCTGACGATTGTATGCTTTTTCCATTGTCCTATCAAGCAAATGTCGCATTTCTAGGAGATAATTGTGGTAATTAGCAATTATGAAAATTCTAAGAAATTTTATTTTTCCAGGCCCTCAAAAGTTTTCTCCATCACATCATAATTATTTACTGGTTTTCTGTTGGTTTTTGGTGATAAAAACCTTGTAATTTACCATTTTAAAATGTCCTCCAAAATGTGAAAAATCACATGATGCTATAAAAAAGTATGTGTTTTTCGAAAAAATTCTGAAATCCCGAATAAAAATGACTTCTTCTTTTAACGACTACTATTATTTTGAGAATACGCATCCGGATGATAAGGTTTTGGGAAATGTATTTTTTAACTTGGATTATATTTATTATCATTCAGTTCCTGTAAAATTAATATTTTCCTGTATTGGTTTAGTTTTTGGCATTTTTCATTTAACGATAGTGACCAGAAAAGAGTTTCGAAAAAATAGTGTGTATGTTATAATGACTGGAATTACGGTAGGTGATTTGTACACAATGTCTTCCATTATTTATGTGTATTATTGGCTTGATTTTGCGTCTTATTTTAGCGACCCTGATTGGTGAGTACCGCAAAACCTGTAATAGAAGGGTCCCCTTTATTGTCCAATTTGAACTGGTTTCCAGTACCACTCAATACGGTATACCACAACGTATTTTTCATGATTATTTTCAAGAGTCTGGAGCTTGTCTGTCAAGTTTCCTATCACTTTGAAAATTTTGGAGGGTGTAAAACAGACCTAGATTGAAAACTTTGCATTCACAGAATTTTTTGAGAATTCCTAGTTTTTCAGCTTTTTTCAGATTTTTTCAAGACACATTTTAAGGTGTAGTGGGGGTGGTAGAAGGGATCGGAGATCCGGGGAGTGAAATTCTAGAGATTTCAGGGGTTCTTGGGATTCTAGAGACTCCAAAAGCGGCAGGTTGGTTGGAAATTGCATACTTTGGAACGGTCCAAAATCTATACAAAATGATCCAAAAATCATTTGAAAATATTCTTAAAATCATGGAAAAACTATCCGAGATTTCTGAAAAAATGTCCCAAAAATTTATAAAAATTGTCCAAATCTAAAAAAATGTTCCAAACGTCATGAAAAATAGCCCATAGTCTATGAAAAATGACCTAGCAATCATGAAAAATGATTTACAAATAATTTAAAAAATCCCGAAAACATGGAATTTTTTAATGTTTCAAGTGCCAAAATTTTTAAGTGCTACATCGGAAACTGAGCTCCAGACGACGGAAAATGGTCAAAAAGTAAATGAAGGTTACTGTAGAAGATATTAAACAGCAACTGATAAAATATATTTTATATTATGATACAAATTTTGACTGAGCATACTTTTTAATATGTTCCCAGAAACTTTCAATCAGGGGCCCTTCTATTACAGGTTTCACTGGGTTTTAGAAATATATAATTCAAAATTCTTCAGTTGGATTCCCAGTACCTACTACTCTGTTCTAATCACTCGCATCTTGAGTGCACTTCAAGACTGTTTTCGCCAACTATCCACGTGGCTGTCTCTCCTTCTGGCTCTTGTCAGATTGCTCATTGTTAAAAACCCCCTCAACCAGAACTTAGCGTTCCTCTCAACCCGTGGATTTGCAATCATCACTATTCTTATCATATTTTCATTGAGTTTAATAATTTCTTTTTCGAATTTCATCCTATATAAGTTAGTCGATGATGGCAAATACGAAATTCGTTTTTGTGAATATTTGCCCAAAAATTATAGTGTTCCGTATAACTGGCAAGTTGCAAGCAGTGATTTTGCGGATGATCATAGGAATACTGTAATTCCAGCTTTCTTGTTTTCGGATGGACTTTTGAAGGTAGTCCCCACAATTTTCCGAATTTCTGAATTTCCGAATTTCTGAATTTTGAAATTTCTGAATTTCTGAATTTCTGAATTTCTGAATTTCTGATGAAATTTCTGAATTTCTGAATTTCTGAATTTCTGAATTTCTGAATTTCTGAATTTCTGAATTTCAAAGTTTTAAAATTTCAGATGATCCCTGCAATAATTTTACCAGTCCTTTCATATCTTCTTATAAAATGTATGAAAGAAGCTGCAAAATCTAGAAAGTCATTGGGGAAAAATCATAAAGAGTATGTCATTTTTCAACGTTTACATTCTATAAATCCAGCTCTTTCAGCTCCGAAATCAGTAAATCAATAAAAATGGTCACCTTAATGACCGTATGCTTAATGATCGCTGAAGGTCCAATTGGAATTGTTCATGCAATTGTGACATTTTATTATGACTACGCGTTTATAGCGTAGGTTTTTGAAAAGCTACCAGCCCGTCAACTTTGAGCTTGTATATCTCGATTTCTGTGAAAGATATCAAAAATATGTCAACTGATAAAATGTTTCTGAAATTATGATAAACAATTTATCAGTTAAAAACTTTTTCATATTTTTGACAGGGACCGAGGTAAGTTGGCTCAAAAATAGAGAACCAAACTATTACAGGGTTGTATAGCAATCATATTTTCTTCAATTTTCAGTGATACCAGAGACCGCCTAGATCAGATTCTGATGGATTTGATTGTATTAAATGCCATCGTTAGTTGTATAATTTGCCTTTCTGTGAATTCTCAATACAGGGATGTAGCCAGAAAAACATTTTGTGGGAGGTGTCGCAAAAAGAATAATGAGGTGAGCTCAAGGTAGCCGACCGTTGCCGGGTTTGGCTACGGCTGACTAGGGAGCTATCTGAGCATGTCCCCAGAGCTACGCTTCATGACCTATATCATTAGAAAGCCCATAAAATTCTGATATGGAACAAGTTTTTTGTTTTTGCGAAACAGCTGCGAGCTTCGAGAAAAGTAGGTCGAAAAAAAATTTTTTCGAAAATTTTAGTACTATTTACTGATTTTGCATTGAAAATCGAAACGAGACACGTGATATATGTATATCAAATTTAAGAAGCCAAACACAGCTTAAAATCAACTAAAAATTATCTTTTGACCTAATGTTCTCAAAGCTCACCGCCGTTTCGCAAAAACAGAAAACATATTTCGAATCAGAATTTTGTGGGCTTTCTAATGATATAGGTCATGAAATGTAACTCGGGGACATGCTCAGGTAGCTACCTCGTGAGCCGGCCGCGGCTTCAAAACAAATAAACAAAAAATGTTTTTAAATAAATTCAGATCGGAATTGCAAGGAGCCGAGGAATCTCAGTATCATCAGTGCCACGTGTTACCGCTTCGAACGCAGCGATTGCTTAGAACCATAACAACCAAACAAGCCGACCGATCCGACCGACCGTCGGCGGCCCGCTTGACAACATCAATAAAAATAATTTATTCTAAATCTTTCAAAACACAGATAGGATTCTCATTAGTGTCCTTATGAATATCCCTCTTCAACATGAACTCGATAAACTCCGCCTCCGTGAATAGTGTAAACATTGTATCCTTTTGATAAGCACTCAAATCGGCCTGCAAAATAAAATTTTGATTTTGAAAATCGCAAAAAATAACTGATTACCGATCCATCATGAATGATAAAAAGTGGTCCCAGGTGTGCATGAAGATAAGGATGAGATCCGGCTTTATACTTCTTTTTCACTGGAAACTCATTCAACAGTGTGCCTCCTTGAGAGTTGATGATAGCAGTTAGGGTGAACACTGCAAAAAACATTTTTTAAAAATTCAGATTTATTTCCTACTCACTATTAGGATACTCTTCCATACACACTGCAACCTGAACGCCGTAGAGATACGGTAGTTCACTCTTAGCCATTGCTTGCGACCATTGGATTACTGTATCAAAGACTTTCCCATTGTACTTCACTTTTTCCACTAGATAGTTGTAGTCTTGTTCGATGAGTTTCTCGTTTTTAAGACAGTCAGTCATCCATTTCTCTTTTACAATTATACAACCATGGAACATCCAGAAGAGAAGACTCAAATTATCCGTTTCAAGAATCCCATTCTCATCTGTCTTCACAACACAATGAGTCATATGGAGAGAGGTTTCCATGGATGTCTAAATATATAGTTTAACATTGTATGAATCCAAAAAACTCACAATCGACTGGAAGACATTCATGAAATTGTTGGACAAGTCGTCATTAGTCCGTTCCTCTGGCCAAATACGAAATGAGAAAACGGGGAAAATCTCGGGAACCCGAACTCGGAAGCTCTTCTTTCGATACTTCTTATAGATCATCTGAATCTTCTCAAATTTTTGTATTTGGTCTTCCTTGAATATCTGCTTGTAGTGCACTGGAATCATTTGTTCAGGTGTCCGATTTTTGGCATTCAAAATCGATCGATCTGCTCCATGACGGATGAGAGCTTCCACAAGATCCGGATGTCCTCCTTTGGTCGCTGCATGGAGAGCCGTGTTTCCAAAGACTGCAATTTTCTATTTTTTGGGATTTCCTAGAATATTCTATTCACTATTATATGCATTCACATAGACCCCTCTCTTCAATGCAACCAACAAATTTGCCTTGTTCGTTTCTCGGACAGCATCCAAAAGTGCATTTTCTCCGTTTACTTTATCCATGAAGCACTAAAAAATTTCATTTAAAGGATGAATATTCGAATAAATTCCTTACTGAATATCTCCACCGTTTCTCAAATTCTTCTGGTTTTCCAAAATAGAAAAGGTACCAATTCTTAAAGGTCCTTCTTCCCTTTTTCGTCATTCCGAAGATCATAAGAAAAGCTAGGGGTAATAAAAAGATACTACCGATGCAAATACCAACTAGGAGTGGCCATGATAAATGGCTGAAATTTTAAGAGGAATTTCAAAACACTCTGAAAAAAAAACTAACTGTTTCTCAACTACTACCGTATGAGGTTTTGCTTTTTTGACATGTCCGAAGAGCTCATCGAAATACTTTTTCAGCGCTACATACGTAAACCTTCCGTCTAAAAGTCTCGATTGATACGTTTTGAAATCCAAATTCACAGCCAAAAGTGAATCTACTTGAGTGCTGGTTTTCGTATTGAAAAACCAACTACGTTCATTATTCACTAAATTCAAAGTATTTCTGAATCATCATTAACTCATAAAAATCTCACATTTCCACTCATACAAAGACTGTCGATCTCCCAGTATTCCCTTGATTTCAGCAATCATGTCAAAAAGTTCCGTCCACTTTTCTGGATTCTGCTTTCTCAGCTTCACAGCTGCCTCATCCACGTCATCGGCTTGTTTCAAAAGCGTTTCGATTGCTTTGAGGGGCTTCTTGTAGTTTTCCAGCCTGTTATCCATTTTTTGGCGAACACTTTTCGCAAAGTTTCCGATTTTCAAAAGGCGTTCTTTGGATTGGAGCACTTGAACCATATTCAGAAGAGCGATTGAGCAAATTCCAAAGTCTTCAGCGTGTTGTTTGGTCATGTTTCCAAGATTGAGTGGACTTTTAGAAGCATTCGCTCGTTTGGTACGGTTTCCAGGAAGGAGGCTTTCGACTTGCTTCAAAGCAGTTTGAGCCTGAAAAGGATGATATTTGAAATTTCTAGGAGAAAAATTTCGCGTATCGAATTAATCAAAATTCCGTTGAAACTACGAATTTTAAAACTTCTAGAAAATCAGTTAAAACTCACTTTCAGGATCTGCTCCAAGTATTCGACAGTCGCTTTGACTTGGTCGTGCTTAGAAACTTTCTCAGCCACCAAAGCGAAATCCAATGGTTTGATTAATTCTGCCGGTTTATAACCGCCATCTCTGAAATTTCTCAGATTTCGATCGACTAATCTGAAAACCGTAATTACCTCAAGCATGTTTCCAACTCTAATCCTTTCGACTTTTCGAGAACGTCGACATACGATGGTACTCCTTGTGCCACAATTCTGTTCCTATACTCGACTAATTTGGCAACCAATGTCTCCTGTCTTTTCTCGAAACTTATAACTTTGTCGGCGATCCACTTTAAGTCCGTTCTTATGTTCATTTCTAATTGCATACAATCCGCATACTTTCTGTAGGTGTTTGTTATCACTTTCTTCATCTCTTTGTCATTATTGTCGGCGGGATTTTCACTTAGGAATTTGTGAGTTTCATCCGAGCACTTCTTAACGATATTCATCCTTCTTTCTTGCTCTTCGTATGATTCTCCTTCAGAATAAAAAACTCTCAATGTTCTTCTAAGGAGACTTTTCATATCTTTGTAAGCGAGTTCAAACTGGTTTTCTTCTTTTTTGAAATCCTCGAAGGTTTTCTCGAACTCATCGTCCGGCCTGTGATCGGGACATTTGCTCAAAATGGCATCCTGCTTCTCTGCGAGTTTATCAAATTCCATTCCATCGGCAGTTCCATCTGTATAAAGCTTACTCGAAACGTCAACGACGGTATATATTTCATTTAATATATTTTCGGTGAGGTGCCGGTCATTGAAAGGTGCCCATTCTTGGTCCAGGTCTTGAATGGACTCTGATACTTTGTTGAATGGTTCCAAAGCTTTCGTCAGACCCTTGATGATTGTGGAATTACGAATGAAATGTTTAGCAAACCACTGACTTTTCAGATCCATAGGAACTCTCAGCAAATCCTTTGGCTCGACAAAACTAACAGTGAGAACTGGTGGTTTAGGTTCCAGTGTTCTGTAGTGTTCCTTACTGTGAGAGATGGAGTTTTTGATTTGATCCGTCACGTTTTTAGGAAGTTGTTGGTCTGATTTTCGAGTCCAAAGTACCTTGCTAATCGCCAAATCATTATTTAACTTTTTCGTCATGCCGAGTGTTTGATTGAACTTTTGGAACAAATCGTTAGGCATTTTCATTACACGATCATACTTTCCATAAATTTGAAGAAGCGGATGTGCACCATAAACCTGTTTAAAAGGTATCATTTTTTTCAGACATTCGGAGAACGACTTCAATGCATCCTTGAGTTTTTCATAGTCTTCTGAAGGTTTCTGTTCTTTTTGGCCTGCTATATAATTATCGTAAACATTTGAGAGGATTTCAAGCGTTCCACTGTCACACTTCCTTTCGAACATCGAATCATCTGGAAGATTGGAACTGACATTGGCTTTCAACTCTTTAAATTTGTCGGCATCCAAAGAAGCGGTGCTAGGTTCGCTCATGAACTCAGCAAGAAACCGTAATCCTTCCTTCATAGTGTCCAACTTGTTCATTTGCCCTTTTTCATTCACGATTTTGACGTTTTCACTTAATTCGGTCATCGAAGAAACTGCCGATTGAGCATCAACATTCAAAATTCCATCGAAAACATTTGGGTCGACTTTCAGAAGTTCCACGATAACATCACGAAAGTTGAAATCTTTTTGATCGAGGGACGATTGAAGGAAGATTGCATTGATGATCCGAGCAAGGGTCATGTAGTCATCAGTGATCGACTCCAAATCGGAAGGTTCTGAAAAATCGGAAATTTCAATCTTTTATATTGAAGCCTACATTTCTCCTATATTCGAAAAGTTTATTGGCACCCCTAAACTCTAGTTGCCCCAAAATGTCTTACGTTTTGCTATTGAAGTCGACGAGAAGATGAGAGCAAAGATGAGCAAAAAATTGAGCATTTTCGCACTTTTCTTTGATCGTTTTTCTTTTCTGAAAAGCACTCAATACGAATTGGTTTGAAGAACTCTGGAATGTTACTTTTTGAAGAAAAGTTGACCTTTTATTGAAAAACTGAAGTTTTTACTTTTTCATTAGATTATTCTTTTTTATAAAGTGGAGAGATCAGATTGGAGATAAGATAATGATGACCCGGGTTATGGTGTTGGTTTTCGGCTTGTGCGTGATCCGGAGTTCACGGGAAATATGCAAAACTATTGTATGACTTTGACCCATAAACATTTTTTTTTCTACCTCCATCATCTAAAAAATTCCAACCATATCCAACTTACATCAAGTTTCTAAGAAAGTTAAAAGTTAGATTAGTTTCTCAGTTTATAAATCTGAATCTGAACATTCCAGACAAAAAAAAAACTTAAAAATAACTGTACAAAAATGTTCAAATTTTTCCTTCTTTTCGCTCTTCTCCTCTTCTCAAGTACTTCAGGTAAAAAAATCCAGAAGTCCAAATCTTCTTCTGATCTTCAACTGGTTTCTGACAATTTTCGAGTCCTTGCTCGTATCACCAACGCAATTTTTCTGCAGTCTGCTGTTATCCAAAAGTCGAATATTTCAAAGGAAGTGATTGCAGAATTTCTAAGAACTTCAGTTTCCGATTTCTATGAAATCGTTAAAATTGATGCTCAATCAGCTGCATCGGTTTTGAAAAATTTGGATTTGGAAGTCGGAAAAATTCTTGAAAGTCATATATTTACGGAAAAGCGGGAAATCAATATATTTCTGAGGAATTCGAAAAATATATCAAGTACAATGGATATATTAACCAAGAATCCTTCGATCCAAATCTGTCTTTCAAAGATATTGTCTATTCAATAAAACGTGGGCGCGCCGCAGGTTGCAAAGTGACACGC